AGATGGTTTGTTTTATTTGGATTCTGCTGTCAATGATTTAAAATTATTTAATATAATCAAACACTTTACATTTTGTTTCTCTTAAAAAGGTCAAATGAACCATTATATGACACCATGAATGATGACATGAAATGAGTGTTTCTAACCTTTTTTTTTCATACAGTAATTGAAATTAATTCAGCCTTCCAAAGATGCCTCCCATCCAGGCTGTATTCCTGCCTGGAGCTCTGTGTTTCTGGGATTTGGGGTGACTAGACCCTACAGCAGTTTTTTGATAATTAATGCCTAAAAATGAAAGACATTTTTAAAGTGGGTTAAAGGCTACATTCTTTATGAAGCTGAATTGAAAAGACTGAAGTCTTGTAAGAGAAAAATGTTATTACAGTACATCTTCATCATTATGTAAAGCTCACATGATTAAGGTTAGACACAAAATAGTCAAAATAGTTTTTACCACTTCACTTGCAACATTTTGAATTTGACAATTGTACTATCCCATTCTTGTTCCATCATATTTACCAGAGTTGTGTTCTATCCATCCCCCATATATTATTATTCGAATGTTGCCATTTTCAAACTTTTAAATGCTGTATGTATTAATAATGTAATAAATTTAACAGATATTTCTGAAAGTGGCAGAGGATACTGGTGTTGATTCTGAAACACTAGGTAAGTAAATCTTCAATCAACATTTTTATTATTAAGGGATTAACATTTAAAACACTTACAGTAAATGCCTAAATTCCCTTTGCTTCTAATGCAGATATACAGTAGATGCTTAAGTGTTGAGCATTGCACTCTAGACATCACCAATTTGTGTGGGCATCATCAATAGACAGCAGAGTTCAGGGTTTTCCATATTGTAGTGCACAACTACTGTACCTGAGTACTTTCAGGGTTTGTAAGTAAGGACTCAGTCAGGATAACTTCAGCTGTGAGTTGGTGGGTGACTGTTAGCCTGACATATTGTCAGCACTAGTTACTGTAGATCACTGCCATCAGTGATAATTATCTGCAGTTACAATGGAACATGCAGTACTGGCTGGCTTTGATGTGTGCTTCTGTGACATTTTTAGGGTTGTAGAGTTACAAATGAGATGATTAACAATTATAATTATAATCATATCACAAAATTAATTAGTGCAATATTTTCCTCATTTGTTTTAATATCTAAAAATACACAAATATTACCGTTACAGACCTGTACATTTCTCATGATGGGTTTGTGTGTTTTAACTTATATAAATTACATTTGTAAAACCAGAAGCAAATTTTGCCTTGGAGCAAAAATCTTTGAAAACCTTATTATACATTTTTAAAGATACACTTTGACTACAAAAACATTTTAATGAGGTAGTTGTGTAAAATGCTAGTGCTCATAAGTTTAATTCATTTCTGTTTGAATGTTCAAGGCCTTAAAGTGGTTCATAGTCAGTCTATATGTTTTACATTTCTAGACTTTTCAAATACATATCACTTCATTATTTCTATTCATAGCAATAATTAGTAGGCAATCTGTAATATGCAAATGCAGTAAAATTGTGGTTCTCAACCCTAGTCCTTAGGGACCACCGTGTCTGCTGGTTTTAGCTTGAAATCTCAAATGTTAATTGATGTCTTTAATAATTGTGCATCCTTTCTTTGATACTTAATGCTAGTGTATAGAAATTGCCATATTTTTGTGTTTTGTAGTTTATAAAATGATAGGTTATATTATGTTCTAAAAATTAGTGTTCTAGTTTTATAATGCAGTATTTATTTTTTCTGAACTAATCAGTGTTCCAGTTTTATAATGCAATAAATGCATTTTTTTGTAGAAACTAGTGAAACATTTGTAAGAGACTGGAAGAGGACTTCAAGGGAATCTAAACGCAACAGCATTTCCAATGTTGGAAAAAGTTCTGAGCAGCTAATTAGCAGCAGTGGTATGAATATTACATTTTGCCTTTCTGTTGTACATTTGTAGCATACAGTAGCTACAAAGAGAACCTTTCTTTAAAAACTCCACTTCCATCTCATGGCTTACTAGTTGATAGTAATGCTTTTTTAAAATCTCAATATACTTTATATATCTCCCTAAAAAATATTTAGAAAAGGAGGTTAACAAATGGTTCATTCTAGAGTATAAAGATGTTTACCTATGCACAGGTTTGGCTATATGATTCAGGAGTAGCAGTTTCAAGCCTGAACTACAGTATGTCACCAGTTTACTGAGATTGTGATTCACCAAGTAGCAGCCTAGTATTGGTTGTGTTTCTCTGAGAGAAAGGTTTTTATAAGTCATGCTGGTCTTGTTTAGCTCATGCCCTTAGCAAAACAGCAAACCCTGTGGCCTGTGAAGCACCTTTATGTTTCCAGTGTTGTCAATGATGGACATATTTATCTTATAATTTATTTATAATCTCTGTTATGGGGCTATGGTGCTTATGATGTGTAAAAAAAATGGCATGAAGGTGGTCAGAGGCATATGTTAAAAACATATAATTGGTTAAGTGGGTGTAACAAAGATCATTGATTTTATTTAAAGAAATAGATTTGGTAGGTTGTGGTTTGAATTGTGGATATAAGTAATGCAGTCTCACGAAAGATTACTTTTATCTTTACTCATCTGCTCTCAAACTGAATATCAGTAATTGCATTATACATTACAGAATAATTCAGACATTTGACAGATTTCGATTTATGCAATGGAAGTCCTAGATTTGTTTCGGTCAAATGGTCAAAAGCTTGTGCAATATCTGAAAATAACAGGAAATAAGTTCTAATGCAGCAATGTTGTAATTACAATCTCAGTTATCGTGAAGCACATGCTCATTTTTAATTGGAACAATACTCATGATATTCCTGGTAAAATCAACATACATATCTGAGACACTGTCACAGCCTTCTTGCTGATTTTATAATTTTATTTTTATGCAGATGTTTGAATTAGTGCACTTATTTCTATTATTTCAATATGAACATCATGTATGTAGTATTGTTAATTTTATCTAAGTAACCAAGGTTTTATTTTATTTTTTGCCACCGATGAAGAGGGAAAGGGGAGATTCACAAATAGAGTTCAAGGTACAGTATGTGTTTCAAAAAGTTAAAGGGGAACTGCTCATCCCAATTATTCAGTTATGCATAACATAATAAACTTTTTTAAAGTACTGTAGGGTCACGACTTTGTCGCAGACTGCTGCTTGATTACTAGATAATAGGACCACTTCAAGTCACCGAAAGTTTTGCTGCCTTGTTTGGAATCGCAGATGACAGCAATATGGCGCTGTGCATACCTGGAAATTTTAACTATTTCCTGATGCACACATTTTCTGATGTGGCTCAGATATAGAAACTACCTCTTGACATGTTCAGTGAGTCCAGGAAGAGATGGTATGGGAATTGCTGGTGTCCATGTTAGATGATCCTGCAGCTGTAATAGCTACAGTATCTGCCTTGTGCTCCTGTTCGGATACTGTTGTTCATTCTGTAAACACAACATGCTTCTGATTATAACTTTAAGACTCCGCAGCTGTATTTGATCCCCACTCTCAGAGCTAAGGCTTAAACTGCCAGAATTTGTCAAAACAATGATTGAATTCTATTTATCTGTCATTGTTTTAATAAGGGTCTTTTTGCTATAGAATTTCCTGAGTGGAATTCTAGTTAGATTGCTTTTATTTGTGTTTACTTTTCAGATTCTGAAAGACCCGATGGCCTGAAGGGGAAAGGTTCATATGTCATCAGCGGGTGGAAGCTGATTCGCAGGCAGTTTTTAGCACTTTTCATTAAAAGGTTTCACCATGCCCGCAGAAGCCGCAAAGGACTTATTGCACAGGTATGGCGAGGATAGTTTGATTAGCATTTTGGTTGGAAAACCAGTTTGATAGCCATTTTACCCTGAACTACACTTTGGTACTTCATGTTTTATAGGGGTATGTTCTTGCTGAAGCATCACTCCTTCACCTAGAATGCAACTAAGATAGATTTGAGGAATTCATTTGTGCCTGAAATGTTATTCAACTATAGTTCAAAAGAATGTCAGAGATAAGTACAGTTACCCATTCCCATTCTCTGGTAGACTATAAAGTGTTCAAATATTTTTGGTTATATGTGATAGCCAAAGTTGCAAATACTGCATTAAGTGCCGAGTGTTTATTGTATTATTTTACCAGCTTCAAAGCATTTTAAAACTTTTAATGTTTGTGATTATGTGTTGTATTATTTCATGCTTGGAATTGGTTAGCTATTTATATTTGTATCTTAAGCCAGAAATGTTTTTAAGTTATTTCATTTTTCTTTTGTACCTAACTGAATAATTAATAATCTGGTAAGGATTTAATTCCAGCCTTTTTACTATGAACATTTGGGTATTTTGCCTCTAATTGTATGCATTAAACAAATCAACTGCACCTGAATTTACTCTTCTGGTATAGAAAATAATAATCTGAAGATTGAGTAGGATTAAACCTTTGCATAAGCAACGTATTTTACTTCAGGTGCACTGACCTTAATAATCATCAATCAAAATGAATGGTGCCCTTGTCTAATATCAGTAGAAGAGATACAGTAAGCAGTTATTAGTTCAATAAAAGTACATACTGCATCAATGTGTTAATGGCATACAAAAATCATAAAGTTATCAAAGATTTTCTCCAGTGTCCAATAATTAGCTATTATGTTTGTCTTTTTGTACTATAATTTCAACCTTTAGGCATATCTGGATTGTGGAAAACAATTCCTGAGGCAATTGTGGAGCTATCGAATGAATTTAAAATGTAAATAGCACTCAGTAATAGCATTCAGTTCCTTGAAACCCTAAACTATAGTACACACTCTGATTAAGCAGCATATACACTATATAGCTGGCCATTTTGATAAGGTATACCATTTTTATTTTCCTTTACTTCTTAACAGAAGCTGATTTTGTGTTGTGTGCTGATTTGTGAAGATGCATTTTGTTGATTCAGATATGATTAACCTCAAGAGATTACTCCTGCCTATAATTTATTTGCTTTGCACAGGTCAATAATAATAACAGCTGTAATAACAATATTTACAAACAGTTATAACAATGTTATAACAATAACAACAACATCATTTTTAAAAAAACTTGCAGAAATAAAGCATAAGAAATTACTGTCACTGAAAAATAATAACCATTTTGCAGAGAATATTGTGTCAGAATACAAAACTGCTTAAAATAATATTTATATTCTGCCTTCTCTGGTATGGTATCTGTTTTATGTATAAATATAACAGACAATTAAAATTAAATAAAAACAATCTAATGGAATTTAAATTTTAAAAAAATAAAGAAATGTGCAGTTCATCTAGTTCCACAAATGTAGACCCAGTAATGGTACCACACATCTCATACATGTCAGATGTAGAACATAAGAATAACATTAAAAGAAATGTACTGTTATGCAATCGCTGTATAACATAAACATTATTTTTCTTTAGCCCTTTTTGAAATTCAAGAATTAAATGAATTAACATTTTAATTTCCTATTAAAAATAGTAATTATCAATAGCCTTATTCCTTGGGAGTATCTGGTGTAAACTTTTGAAATTATATTCTAAGATATCCATACATTAATTTATACATTTTGATAAAGCTTATTTCTTATATGGGTCATGGCAAACCTGAGCCTATCCTGGTAGTACAGGGTGCAAAGGGTGCATCTTGGATAGGACACCATCCCAGGACACATGTAATATAGAGACCTGATTACACTAAGCAAGTCTTTGGGAGGCAGAAGGAAACAGGATCATGCAGTCGAAGAACATGCCAGCACCATACGATAGACATGCCGGTATGGCCTTGAACACAAGACACAGATCCTATAAAGTAGCAGCATTAACCATGCTACCCATCTACAGGTACAGTAATGAAAAAAAAAATACATTTTAAAAAAACATTTTTAAAATACAGCAAATGCTTTTATGGCTCACAGTTACTTGTTTGTAATTATCTTGTTATGAGCAGGGATTTCAATCTAGAAATGACTTAGAGTGTTTATCGCGTGCTTCTCTAGAGCAACACCATTATAGACAGATTGACGATTATGATTCAAATGCTGCTCACACATTGGCCAAGAAAGCTTCTATGACTGATATTCTGACTGGTCTGAATTATTATTTAAGCAATAGATATTCTGTGTCATGATATGTATTCCCATGATTCAGTGCCTAGATCCATTGCTGCAAGATTCCAGCCCTTAAAAACACATTGTGGAGATATTTTGAAGCAGCCAAATATGACACAATAGCATAATATGTTAGAAATATGTTTAAATGATTTTAATGATAACTATTTTCTAAATGTATATTCTAGGTTAGGATAGTTCAAGTTTGACCTTTGGGTAGTTTGTCATTTTAAGAATTTCACATTTTTATTTAAAGAGAAGACAGATATGTTTCAAAGGAGACTTTGATGCTCACCCTACAACATGAATCCCATATTTTTCTTAATAATTATAATTAAACTTCTCTAATTGCTTGCCAATATTCATTTTCTTTAAAAGAAAGTCTTGGATCAGGCTTTATTACTATACACACAGCATGTTCAGAACATTTGATATTATCAGCTATACTCTGACTCTGAAGGCTTTATCTTATCTAAAGGCTTTACTAGTCCCCTGTTGCCAAGGAGACAGCTTGGTATAAATTCTATATGCTGTTGTTCAAATTTCTGAAGTAGGTTTGTTCCCAGCAATTGGCCTTTTGGTTTGTTAATGAAGTAACTGGCATTTATGAACTAGAAAGAAGCAAATAAGAAATATCCTCTTTAAGCAATCGCATTCATTTTCCCAAATCTGTGCAAGATTGTAATTGTACGAGAGGTAGTTTCATGTAATCACTAAAATTTGTGTTTGCTTGTGTCATTCATTATGTTTCTTATAAAGGCTGGGTCAAAAGTCCTCATAAGTGTATTATTTAAATGTAAGATCTGACACCAACTTTCCTCATTGTTGGTGTTTAAACTAAAATGTTCGGCTTTAAATTATGCATGTATTTTTCACTTATTTAAATGTCAGCATTAATCCCCAATTAACATCTCATACTTGTAAAGCTTTGTAATTTAACTTGTTTGCCATGTTTGACTGAGCTATGAGATAGCATTAAGGAAAATAAAACTGTATTTATATGGATGCATTCAGTCTGGCTATAAATATACAGTATATATATATATGGATTAGCATGATGCTGCAAGGTGGAGGGTATACATTACTTGTCCTACGAACATGGCTACCCTGTATCTGTTGAGTTTTGCAGATTCTGAGGCTCAGGTCACATTAGGGTTGTTTAAAGGATTTTCTGCAACTATCCACCAACAAGAAGATTGTTATGCTGCAAGGGCATACCTGGGCTTGAGGTGACCTGAGAGGGACTGGTTGGAAGACCAGCTTAGTATGTACAGTAAGATTAAGATTTGAGTCTGTTTACTCTCTGACTCTCTCAAGCTTTCTCCCATCCACTGGAGTAAATATGTGCAGGAATAGTTACCAAAAGATCAGCATATGGTTCTGGATTACTGTTGTTAACATGAGAATTTCTGTTATCCCACTAGTTTTCTGGCCAGAAAGATCATGCAGAAAGGGCAGAATATTATTTTTCATGACTGTGCCACACTCAGTAATAGCATACAGATCTAGACAAAGCTACATGTTAACTGGTGAACAAATGACCATAATTTTGTAAGCATACAGTAAGGTGCTATTAATGAAATGAACCTAAATAAAATGTGTAGTTTAATTTTCGTATTTCTGTAAAAAATACATTAATGTTGTTATTGTTATAGTAATGGTATGGTATGCAAAATTTACCACGAAAGGAGATTTATCTCCACTGTTTCCGAGTCTGTCTGAGGTGTTGCTCTTACATACTGTACCAAAGGCATGAAGGTTGGCATTCATCTGATCAACCTTAGCCAACCTTAGCCAATCAACTCTCTCACTTACGAGGTGGTTTAGTGCTTAAGTATCTATCAAAGTGATTGATACCCATCACAGAAAGCCAAGAATGATCAAGTAGCCAAAAATACTTAACATCAAAATCATTAAATACTTAAGTAAAATACATTTTAAAAAAGTCCATGAATACATAAATATACATAAATTATAATGTTCCAAAATCCATCAATATAGATGGATACATAATAATTTCAAATATACTGTATAGTATATACAATACATTAGCTCAACAAGGTAAAATATTGTGGATACAAGTTTTGTTGTTGGTAGTATACACACATTTCCATACGTGTATATTAGTTCAGACACCTTAATTGATATATATCATGATGTGTATAATATATACACTGTATGTGGTTCAGTGGTAAATATATCTACCAGCTTCCTGATTTCTCCAATTGTTTCCTGTTTTTGTAAATATTTTTCCTGTGTGTATCAATGGATAAAACAGCATCTGTGGTAAAAAACACAGAGAGTTAATTCCATGCATAGACTCCACCCATTATTCTGTCGGACTGATGACTTCTTTGTGATGAATAAAAAAGTGCATGCACTGTACATACAGTACAGTATCATTCGTTTATTTTTTTACTGTATTCATGTCACTGTTTAGCTGACATAACGGTTTAACATCTTGTGAACTGCCTATTGTCAGCAGATATGATTGTGGTGAAATAATATTTTCAAAATGATCTACAGAGGATACAAAACCCAGTATGATATCTAGAGCCGAAGGACTGATTTATCAATACAATTCTGCAAAGTCTTGGATGTCTGCTTCTAGACGATACTGCCTTCTGATTCCTATTGCTGTGTTCCAGCATGAAATTATATTTTACTCCTGGAGCTTTGAATATGG